TGTAAGGTTCACAAAAGTTGTGTTATGTCAGAGAATGGTTCTTGCAAGAGCTGAACTGAGTCCTGGAGGCTGGCTACACTTTAGCCAGGTGCAGGCAGAGGAGTACATAACATAATGCAGGGGAGAAAGGCATGAGGCAGGACGAATGGGTGGTGGAAAGAGCTTGAGGGACATTGTGGGTCCAGCTGAGCAGTTTCTTTTATTTTACTAATAAATGGTCATTTCAATGGCGATGGAATATCACATAATGATGATAGAATGTCATTCAAGGATTTCATCCAGAAAGTGAAAATAAGGAAACCTTATTTGAAATGGAGTTGGGAAGCCCTGAAGGGGGAGCTCTCACACACCACCATTCATTGCCCTTTGCAGACTCCATCAGGAAGGAGCATACCTTTCACTCCCTAACAGGAAGTAGCTTACTTTACACACCTCAGCAGGAGAAAAGATGATTTTTCTCCTTGCCCAGCCAATGGGAAACCACTACACTTCAGCCAACGAAAAGCTGCCACCACCCTGAATTCTCATTGGCCTCCAATGAACTTTTGTTCAAAACAGCCCCTCCCAACTTCCTCCTCTCCTCTATAAAAGCAAGCCCCTATTCTCTATTCTCTGACCTTGCCTGTAGTATGCCATAGCTTGCACGTCCTGAGTTGCAATTCCTCTTCTATTCCTGAATAAACTTATTTTGCTAGTTGAATAACTGGCTATTTTATTTTAAGGCTGACAAAAGTAACTTGATCATATCAATATTTTAATAGGATTGGCCTACTGGCAATATGAAGCATACTTTAGAGCAAGATAAGATTGCAGGAAGGAAGGTCAATTAAAACAAAGATAGCAATTTATTTAAATATCAGTGATTTAATTTAAGTTAGAAAACCCACCAATATCATCAGCCATATTAATAAATCACCTGGGAGTGGAATGAGTAATTTCTTAGAGTGAATATATGTGTGTATATATATATATATATATATATAATTAAATATAATAAAAATAATAAAATGGTAATTTCTTGTGCTTATGTTCTGGACTTGGGACCGGGAAGACCTAGACTTAAATTTTGGATTCACAATTTAATAGCAGTATAATTCTAAGAAAGTCACAACCACTGTGCACCTCAGTAGGTTCATCTTTAAAATAAGATGGCAGGGATTGTTTTGTTCACTGCTGTGTCTCCAGCACTAGCATAGTGATTTAAACACTGCTAATGTCAATAAATATTTACTGATTAAAGGCATGTCTACTCTACAGAGTTGCTGTGCTAATGAAATGAGATAAAAATTGTGAAAGTTTCTAGAACAAATAACTCTAAAATTTATATGGAATCACAAAAGTCCCAGAATTGTCAAAGCAATCCTGAGGAAAAAAGAACAAAACTGGAGGCATAACCCTTCCAGACCTCACACTATACTACAAAGCTACAGTAATCAAAACATCATGGTATTGGCTCAAAACAGACATATAGATCAATGGAAGAGAATAGACACCTGGAAATAAACCCACACACCTTTGGTCAATTAATCTATGACAAAGGAAGCAAGAATATACAATGCAGAAAAGACAATCTTTTCAATAAGTGTTGGGAAAGCGGGACAGCTACATGTAAATCAGTGAAATTAGAACACTTGGTCACACCATACACAAAAATAAACTCAAAATGGATTAAAGACCTAAATGTAAGGCCAGAAACTATCAAACTCTTAGAGGAAAACATAGGCAGAACACTCTATGACATAAATCACAGCAAGATCCTTTTTGACCCACCTCCTAGAGAAATGGAAATAAAAACAAAAATAAACAAATGGGACCTAATGAAACTCAAAAGCTTTTGCACAGCAAAGGAAACCATAAACAAGACCAAAAGACAACCCTAAGAATGGGAGAAAATATTTGCAAATGAAGCAACTGACAAAGGATTAATCTCCAAAATTTACAAGCAGCTCATGCAGCTCAATATTAAGAAAACAAACAACCCAATCCAAAAATGGGCAGAAGACCTAAATAGACATTTCTCCAAAGAAGATATACAGATTGCCAACAAACACATGAAAGAATACTCAACATCATTAATCATAAGAGAAATGCAAATCAAAAGTACAATGAGATATCATCTCCCACCAGTCAGAATGGCCATCATCAAAAAATCTAGAAACAATAAATGCTGGAGAGGGTGTGGAGAAAAGGGAACCCTTCTACACTGTTGGTGGGAATGTAAATTGGTGCAGCCAGTATGGAAAACAGTATGGAGGTTCCTTAAAAAACTAAAAATAGAGCTACCACATGACCCAGCAATCCGCTCCTGAGTGTATATCCAGAAAAGATGAAAACTCGAATTCAAAAATATACATGTACCCCAATGTTCATAGCAGCACTATTTACAACAGCCAAGACACAGTAACAACCAAAGTGCCCATCAACAGACAACTGGTTTAAGAAGATGTGGTTATCATATATACAATAGAATATTACTCAGCCATAAAAAAGAATGAAATATTGCCATCTGTGGCAACATGGATGGACCTAGAGATTATTATACTCAGTGAAGTAAGTCAGACAGAGAAAGACAAGTATTACATGATATCACTTATATGTGGAATTTAAAAAGTAATACCAATGAATCTATATACAAAACAGAAACAGACTCACAGACATAGAAAAAAAACTTATGGTTACCAAAGGTGAAAGGGAGGATGGGAGGGATAAATTAGGAGTATGGGATTAACAGATACAAACTACTATACATAAAATCGATAAGCAAAAAGGATTTATTGTGTAGCAAAAGGAACTATATTCAATATCTTGTAATAACATATAATGGAAAATAATCTGAAAATATATATATAACTGAATCACTTTGCTGTATACCTGAAACAATGACAATTTTGTAAATCAAATATACTTTAATTTTAAAAAATTGTGAAAGTTCCTAACACAGTTCTTAACAAAGATACTATTAAATGGCTGCTTTGTGCCAGGAACTATGCCAGCTGCTGGGGATATGAAGATGCATAAGACAGCCTTCCTACTCTTGGGAGCTTCAGTCTAAAGGAGCTACACAAAGTATTTGTGATGGAGCACAAGGTACTGCGAAGCTCAGAGTAGGTGCTCTATAAACATGGAACCTAAATTTTATAACACTTTACAGTTTACAAAGCACTTTCATGAACACTATCCTATTTGAAACAATGGGTACCATAAATTTTACAAGAATAAACAAAGGTCTTAGGCATTCAGCAGAGGGAGGGATGATCTTTTGTGATGAGTAAGCATGACTTCATGGGAAAGATGGAATTTTAGTTGAGTTTCAGAATACAGATGGATTTTGACAGGAGTGAAAGATGGAAGGGTGGGAGTTTCATAAGACAGAGAAATACGCAAGCAAAAGCTTGTCCTCCGTAATTCCGTATCACCTTTTTATCTGTGTTCACAAACCATATGTTTATAAATTCCCTCTGGAATACTGCCGAATCTTGATATCTGTAATTTTTGGAATCTACCCTTACTGGCCTTTGAAAATCTGGAAAACCTTTTTTTGTTCATCTTTAATTTTCATGCACGTGATTCATGAATTCTGATGATTACTAATGGAAGTTACATGACAGTATTCACTTATTCACAAATACTTATTGAAACCTTGATAAGCTCAAGGCCTTGTCCCTGGCAGTGCCGGGCCTACTAAGATGAACTATGTATACAAGCAACTACCCCACAAAGCAGAGAGCTGTAAGTGCCCTAACGGAGCTGAAGCTGGATTTACACTAGGAGGGCTGAGAGGAGAGGGATCATCTGCAGCGGGTTTTTTTGGTTTGTTTTTTTTATCCAGTTCTCCTCCTACAAGTCATTCATCTGACTTTGGAGATTTGACCTTATAAAAAAAGATTAACTGTTCTGTTACAACCTCCTCTTCCGGATTACTTGCAGGGTTTGTTGTGACCGGTTCAACTCGAACGTCTTTCTCTTTACCAGAAGACTGAGGCAATTTAGGAGCCGAATGACTGCCGACTCTCTGCCCTCAGGTTCAGAACTCACCATACATTGTCTCGAGGGACTTTACTCAGGCCTGTACTTTCTTGTTCTGAATATTCTTTAACGTATCTTTTATTGTGTTTAGCATATTTGCAATATCCAGCTGACTTTAGCCTTTGAAGAGTAGCCTTAGGCAGGAAGGCCCAGGAAAAGTTACTGCTCTTTGTGACGCACTATCCCATCCTGCCTGTCAGTTTTTCTAACCCTCAGGATGGCCCTGAAGGATGGAACATCTTATCCATGTAAAACTGTTATGGAGATTCTGACCCTCTAAAAGAAAAATTTATCCAAGGTCTCAAAGCTCAGAAGTGGTAGACCTTGGATTTGAACATCGCTATTTCTGACCTTAAAGCCCATGCTTTTCCCACCACAACCTATTAACCGTGATAAAGTGTATTTTAAAATTAATCTTCCTGGTTTTTTAAAATTCTTTAAAAAAATCTCAGTTCACCAGTTTCCTGTTCAGGCTCATGGATTTCAGGTGCTCAACGAGCATCTATTTGCCATTCAAAGCCTAGGATCATTATCTGCCTTCTTCGGTATCCTCGTTTATTCATTACCGTGATCATTTGTAACTTTATAGTCATAGTTATTCTCCTGGGTGTCTGCCTATTGGCTTTCTGAAATTTCCCACTGTCCTTGTTGACAATGGCTAGAATTCCCTTTTATCATAGTTTTTGAACTCCAAGATGACAATCTCCCATTTTTTTTTTTCTTAATGGGCAGGAGGAGGAGGGAAGCGCAGGACAAAAGAAAGTGGTTTAGTTAACTGGGGATTGTTTTACTGTATCTTTCCGTCAGACGTTCAGCTATCTTGTAAAATTTATTGTTCCTGCTTGGCAACCCCAGAAGGTAACAAAGCAGGAAGGTCATCAATACAAAACCTCGTCAGTAGGTAGAACAACAAGGCGCGTAGCCCCGCCTCTATAACCACGCCCGGGAGGCGGGGCCGCCCTCGCGGCCCGCGGGACTTATAGGTCAGCCGGAAGGCGCGTGAGGCCTTGGCAGTGCACTGAGCAGGCCCTCGCCGGGACCCCGGGCGTCAGGCAGGCGCAGCGTCAGCCCGCCCCCAGTCTTGGAGCCTCCCTCTCGTGGCGGCTGCAGTGCGGCCTGCGTCGTCTCCCGTAGTTATCCGACCGGCTATGGCCGCTCGTCTCCTGCGTGTCGCCTCCGCCGCCCTTGGCGACACAGCCGGCCGGTGGCTGCTCCTCGCCGGACCCCGCGCGGGAGCCGGCGGTCTCCGGGGGAGCCGGGGGCAGGGCGGGAGCGCCAGGCCGGGCCTGGGCGGCGGCGCAGCTGCGGCGACGCGGACGCTGAGCGTGTCGGCGCGCGCGCGAAGCAGGTGAGGCGCAGGGGGCGCGTGGGCGTTGGGTCCCTGGCAGAACTGCCACGCTCCTTCCGCCCGCTTTCCGGTTCCGTCTGCTTCCCCCGGCGACGGCGTGCGGGCCACACGCCCGGCCCCGCCCGCCTCTTGCTCCGCCTTCTCCGTGTCACCGGCAGGTCGCTCGGTGTGGTCACGGCCTCCTTTACTTACCGCTGCCAAGTTGCCTTTCAGATCCACTGACGCCTGGCGGGGAATGGAGGCCCGGGACCCCCGATCTCCTTGTCCCAGTGCCTCCTGTGCCCTCAGGAAAACCGGGCACTTTGCTGCCGCTGGTTCTCCGTGCGGTTTGGCGAGGATCTAACCTTTTCTATGCTCTTAACCGCGGTGACCTTCGTAAGATGCGCCCCGTTCGTGTCCTGGCCTGCAGTTTCTTATCGTGCCTTCCTCCTGCTAGGTCAGGACGTTCTGTCTCCAAGTCCGTGTCCATTTAGGATACACCCGCTCTGTCCCCGAGCTTCCCTGTTTGCTCTCTTGTGGTTGCTGTCGGGGTAAAAGCCCCAGCGTTGGACTGGCAAGGCAGGGTTTTAAACTGGGCTTTGACACTTATTGTCCAGTTTGTCTAACGTCAGTGGAGGATAATAATCGTGTCGGCCTCACAGGATTATTTGAAGAACAAATGAGAGCATACAGGTAATGCAGGGAGTCTTGTGTCTGGCCAGTATCGAGGACTCAGTAGATCCCACCTGTTAGCATCAGTTGCCTCCTAGGCTCACAGCGTTGTGTTTTGTATTAAGTGTCGAAAGAGGTGAGAGAAAATTTGCCCAAAATATGTTGCAGTCTTATATTCTTGGGCAGATTCGTTTTTCAAAGACAGACTCCCCTTAGATATAATAGAGAGAAAATTTCCTCATAATTTCAGAGTATAGCACTGTGTTGGCGCCTTACATAATGCAGGTCTCGGAACAGCTCTTTGACTCCCTTGCTGTTGTGTAGCAGCAAGAAGGAGCTGCAGGGAGAAAGGGCTGGATTTGTATTCCTCTCTAGTTTCTTCTTCATGAGGTTCCTGAGAATAGGGTGGAGGAGTTACTCATCTTTTCTCCTGTAATCCCATAATATAGTGGGTGCTCAATACATTTTTGTTGCATGAACTGTGAGGGAGATAGTGGGGAAGGCAAGCAGGGGTTATTTGTCCCTGTTTCCGTTACACTTTCCTGTCTTTGACCTTCCTCTGCCTGGATGCCTTGTTTTCTGCATTGTATGCTTTCTTGAAAATTTGTGTATAAATTGGGACATATGTTGAACATATTTGTGTAACTAGTATTTAAAGGAACATGATTGCTTTTGTAAATGGGAATTATATCCCCCAAACTTACTGTTTGAATCGGTACATCAAGTTGTCTTAAAGGGAAGCACATCTGTCTGCTCCCTTATAAACCTGCTTTCCCCCTCATTGGCACAGTTTCCATTGGTGCCCTGTGCTTCCTATCACAGACTTTGGAGCTACAACTAGGTTTTCTGACTCTTATCATCTAAGACTTATGCTATCCAATATGGTCACTACTAACCACATGTAGTCATTTAAGTTTAAGATAATTAAAGTTAAATAAAATTAAAGAATCATTTTCCCAGTTCCACTGGCCACATTTCAAGTACTGGATAAACACACATGGCTAGAAGCTACTGTCTGGGACATCACAGCTATAGAATATCTCTGTTATTGCACAAAGTTTGGACAGAACAGTCTAGAAGCTGTAGTTCTGACTTTGAAGTTTAACATTTAGATAAGCTTTCAGTAATTGAGAGTCGAAAAACTCCTTTTACTCCAAAATACTCTGATATAGTACTTTATATTTTGTAGTGATTTAGGTTGTAAAGGGCTTTCACATGTATTATTTCCCTTGACTCTTAAGAAAATCCTGAGATAGGTGAGGTAGATAAACGAGAATAAAAATTTATATTAAGTAGCATGCAAAACTAGGACTAGAACTCACATAGTTTTTGTTTGTTTTTTGAGCACCATTAGAGTTGATAATTCTTTAGCCCATAGGGTCTTTTGGAAGAGTTAAGGTGGCTATGGAAGTGGGGAGCCCTAGACGGGGCCCTTTTCTTGGACCAACTACCCCAGGCTACCCCACATAATGAAAGGGTGGGCATCAGCAGCCATAACTCCTCTCCCTGTTAGAAGTCTGTTAAGAGCTTTACCACAGCAGCCCCTGGAGAGCTTTGTCAAAATATCTGCTGTGGTTGAGCAGAATAAGTGGTGGTGCATAAAGGGTAAACAAGTGAAGAAAATAGTTGTTTGTGGTGCTGGCTAACTCATTGATGATAGAGGATTTAGAAGGATCCTAATTACTTCCCAGTGCATGAAATCTTATCCTTTTTGGAAACAGCTAGAAGCTTTTTGCTAGTTCTTAGAATTGGAGAAGCAAACTATAGAAAACCTACAAATACCACTTGTTAATAGTGAATGGATAAAGTTACCTGGATAAAGTGCATGTGTATAATGCTTTAAGGAACAAAATATTTCCACAAACTTTCTCTCCTTTAATTCTCTCAGCAGCTGGGTGAAGTCACTGTTATTGCCATTTTACCCATGGTCACCTAATGAGTATACGTATGTCAGAACCAGGGCTAGAATCTACGTTTTCTGACTCTTACATCTTATATTCCATACTTTCTCAGCTGCAAAATTACTTTTTCTCTCTCATTTCTGCTTCCTCTCCTGTTCTTTGATAAACCTGTTATTACTCTTACTCTGTAGTTTTTTTCTGGGGCTGTATACCTTTTTTAATATGTAGCAGCAGTTCAGGCTCCTTAACAACAAAAGGACTTTTAAATAAAAGTTATCAATCAGTGTTTGTTGAGCTCTACAGTATGTTAGGAATTTTGCATATGTTGTCAAAACTATGAGATAAACGTTACCCTGATTTTACAGAAGAGGAGTCTGACGTCAGAGTTGCAATTCCTTGGCTGTAGCTCATCTCTAGAGTGCTGCAGAAGAGCAGCAGTGCCCAAACCTCCGGCCTTCAGTAGTGTGTATAAATGATGGAATTCTTTCTGCTGCACTTCTTGTACCTTAGGCTACCAGGCATTTTTTGATGTCAAATCTCTAGGCTTCTGCAGGGCTCAGACCCATATTTCCATCAGGCTTCTGGACATTTGCATCTGTTTATTATTAAATCAAACAGGTCTAAAGTTGTACTCATTTCCAATATTCCCCAAAGCTCCTTCTCCTCCTAAGTTAAACTTAAGTTAAACTGTACTCCCTCATTGTCCGAGCTAGAAATTTCAACATTATTTCTTCCCTCTCCAAAAGTTTTTAATTCTGCCTCCTGAATATCTCTCAGTATCTCTCAAATCAGTGTCTCCTATGTCCCTGCTTTGTTTATGACCTCCAGTGTGGTCTCCCTGCCTCCAGAGTATCTTCATTACTAGTCATTTTTCTTCGAAAAAATAGCAGTTGCCTAGTTGAAAATCATGAATGTTTGGGAATACTTGCTTTAAAGCATTTTTTGCTACAAAAAGAAGTCAGAGAGCACATGCCCATTTAAGGGACATTCTCTCTCTCTTTCTCTCTCTCACACACACACACACACACACACACACACACACTTCTGATCAAAATTTTTAATTACTAGGATCCTCATTTTTCATCATTGAGTTATCAAGGATGACATTATCTGATAAGGCCTCAGCTGCCTTGTTTGGGAAATGAGATGATGGACTTGGTAACTTGCAAGATATTTACAGCTCTGAAATTATGTAATTCTAGGTTTTACTTAAACTAAACAACGTTTTCTTTGATGGACTATTACCATCTATTGGCAGTAGTGGAAATTACAACTAATTCGTTTAAGCTGAAGTACATCTTTTCAATTGTGAGGTAAAAATTTAAATGACCAGTAGTGGAGGATAAGTAGTTGATAATATGATTTCTTTTTTTTTTTTTTTTGGCGGTACACGGGCCTCTCACTGTTGTGGCCTCTCCCGTTGCGGAGCACAGGCTCCGGACTCACAGGCTCAGCGGCCATGGCTCAAGGGCCCAGCCACTCCGCGGCATGTGGGATCTTCCCAGACCCGGGCACGAACCCGTGTCCCCTGCATCGGCAGACGGACTCTCAACCACTGCGCCACCAGGGAAGCCCAATAATAATATGATTTCTTTTCCCAAAGTTTGGACTGATGTTTGTGAGAAGGGTAAGAAATTTAAGTTAGTTAGCTAACTGATAACTAGCTGATAGCTATCCTATAGTAATGAAACATGTAAGGAGATATTATATTTATTTTCTGACATATTCAAGCAAAGAAAACCCTTTTTCTAGTCCCTTTGTTTTTTGAGTACACTATATGGACCAAAATGAGATGTTCAAATACTCAGAAAACTATCAAACTGCTGGCTCTCAGTGACCGTACTTATCAGACACTTGCATAACAATTGCCTTATCAATAGCAGAATGATTTGTTTTTAAAGCTCTCCACAACCGTCACCTAGTCTTTTAGGGACACATTCATAGAAACATTGTTTTTCAGAGAGCTATGTGAGAGCAAAGCAAACTTCACGAGTGATAATGATTGCTAAGCATTTCATGTAACTGTGACCTGAGAGTGACCACTGGGGAGACACATACTACAGGTGGCCTTGATAGTGATGTACTTGCTATTTCCTTTAAGGTGGCAGAGCTTCCCTCCTGGTAGGTGGGCAGATAGATATGCCTGTGGTTTGTGGTGTCTCCTTCCCAAATGAACTTGGGAAAGAAAAGAAAATACCGTAAAGGAGGATATTTGCATGCACACAGGCACACACACAACCTATTTTTTGACGTTACAGGTTCTTAGAACAATTATTTTAAAGTATCTTTTGAAATTATTAAAAATAATAAAGGACTGCTTCCTTTTCCAGCTCAGAAGATAAAATAACAGTCCACTTTATAAACCGTGACGGTGAAACATTAACAAGCAAAGGAAAAGTTGGTGACACTCTACTAGATATTGTGGTTGAAAATAATCTTGATATTGATGGTTTTGGTGAGTATGGAACATTCTTTAAAATTTATAAGTGAAACTATTGAATAGGTTTCAGCTTTGTTTTTTCGAAGAATTTTAACTAGAGTATGCTAAGTGAAATATTAAAATTCAGGATGTGTTAGTGTTATATTCTCACCTATAAAGAATAAGTGACACTGTGTTTCTCTTCTTTGAACATTAATTAGCTATATGCCCCAAAGTCTGTTGCTTCATTACCTTATTGATTATGTGTGCAATGCAAAGCTGGGAGTAGGAAGTGGAATTGAAAGATACCAGGTTGAGATAATAAATGTCATATCAGTGGGTAGTTAAATCATTTTAACTTAGTCTTTTTTTAAACTTTTTAGTTTGAAATAATCTTTGACTTATAGAAAAGTTGCAAAAATAGTACAGAGAGTTTCTGTATAATCTTCACTCAGCTTCCCCTACTGTTAACAATTTATATAACCATAATACAATAATCAAAACACAGAAATTAGCATTGGTTCAATAACTAAAAAACTACAGATTTATAGAATTTTGCTAGCTTTTCCACTAATGTCTCTGTTTTGGGATTCAATCCAGGATCCCACATTGCATTTAGTTATCATATCTCCTTAGTCTCCTTCAGTCTGACATTTCCTCAGTCTTGTTTTTCATGACCTTGATACTTTTGAAAAGTACTGGTAAGTATTTTGTAAAATGTTCCTCAATTTGGGTTTGACTGGTGCTTTCTTTTTCTTTTTAATTTAATTTTTTAAAAATTATTTTATTTATTTATTTATGTATGTCTGCGCCACGTGGCTTATGGGATCTTAGTTCCCAACCGGAGATTGAACCTGGGCCCTTGGCAGTGAAAGCATCGAGTCCTAACCACTGGACTGCCAGGGAATTCCCAGACTGGTGTTTTCTTAATTACATTGAGCTTATGCATTCTTTTTATTTTAAGTGAGTTTTATTTTACTTACTACTTTATTATTTTATTTTATTTTTATTGAGATATAATTGATATCAAACCAACATAATGGTTTGATATTTGTATACACTGTGAAGTGATCACCTGAACAGTAAGTCTAGTTAGCATTCATCACCATACGTAGTCTTGAACGTCATCTCACCTTCCTAGAAAGGGTACTTAATCTACCTCTTACTAGAGAAGGAAGTGTTTTGTTTAGAAAGTTTTCATTTCTAGGCTTTTGACCATATTCCTTAGCCACTCACACAAAGCCCATGTCCTGGAAGCTGACATCTTAGAGCTCAGGGATACCCTGTATATCACTTGTCAGTTTTGCTCGAGCATTCTCTCTATCTAGAACGGTGGTTCTTTAAGAGGGTTCCATCAGTGTCACTTGGGAAATGCACATTCTCAGGCCCCACTCCAGATCTACTGATTCAGAAAGTCTGGGGTGTGGCCCAGAAATGTGTGTTTTAACAAGCCCTCCATGTGATTTGGTTGCATGTTTAAGTTTGAGAACCATTGGTCTGCAATCAGGTCCGGGGAGCATATCTGACTATTCTTCTTTCAAGGCACTGTTCACATTGCATTTTTTTTTTTTTTTTTTTTTTTGCGTTACGCGGGCCTCTCACTGCTGTGGCCTCTCCCGTTGCGGAGCACAGGCTCCGGATGCGCAGGCTCAGCGGCCATGGCTCACGGGCCCAGCCGCTCTGCGGCACGTGGGATCTTCCCGGACCGGGGCACGAACCCGCGTCCCCTGCATCGGCAGGCGGAAGCCCCACATTGCACTTTTAAGAACACTTTTCAGATCAGAATTATTTCTCCTCCTCCATTTTCCCATGATACATTAAATATACTTCTCTATGTTAATATTCATCTCAGTTTTCCTTTTTAGAGGGAATATCTCTTTCCTTTATTAGACTTTGTGCTTTTGGAAGACTGTTATCACTCAGGTAACCAGAGTTGGCAGTCAGTAATATTTGCTGAATTTCTCAATCTAATGTCAGTTTCAGGGATAACTGTAACAACTACCATTTGAGTGCATACTGCATCCCAGCATATGTTATCTATTATTGTAATAACTCTAAGAGGTAGATTTTTTTTTTAACTTCCACTTTATAGATGAAGAAACTAAAGTTCAGAGAAATTAATGTTCCCTGGGTCATACAGGTAGCAAGTGAGAAGGCTAAGATTCAAACCTAAGTCTCTCTAACTCCTAAACCTCTGCTTTTTCCTTTATGCCTTTTTCTCTAAGAAGCATCTTTCCTTTGTGAACACTTGTTACAGAAATTAGGTGATGAAATAGTTGATATAGTTCCAGTTTTAAGGAATTTTTTACTCTAATGCAGTGGTTCTTGGCTAGGACTGAGTTTCAGAATTCTGCAGAACTTTAAAAAATGTTACGTCCTTGATGGTAAGGGAGAAAGGGAAGTTGTACAGGTATCCTTTTAAAAAGCTCCACGTGGTTCAGATCCATACCATGGTTAAGAACAACTAATTTATGGAAAAGAACCCATTTATAATTTATATATATATATTCTATAAAATTTATATATAATTGATCTCCCTCATGAGTTCATATTCAGCAACACTTTTGACTAAGCTGGGTTTCTCTGAATTATTCTCTCACAAATGAAAAGTAGTACATTGCACAGTAATTGAGAATAGACTCTGGAATTAGACAAATTGTGGTTCATAAACCAACATTGTCACTTACTAGCCATGAGACCTGGAGCAAGCTACTTTACGTCTGTATGCCTCAGTTTCCTCTTCTGTAAAATAGTATTGTAATAGTTCTAACCTCATAGGGTTGTTAAAGATTAAATAGGGTATTGGAAGTGAAGTGCTTAGCATAGTGGCTACGTTGGTAAGAACAGTAGGATTTGTGGCATTTTAACTTGCCCTATTCACCTTCTCCTCTCCCCAGTTCAACAGTAGCCTTAAAAACCAGCAGCCTATAAAAAAAAAAAAAAAAAAAAAAAAAAACCAGCCCTCCTTGTGGCCACTGGAGGGGCAAACTGGTTTGAGTTCCTCAGAAGGTCCCATCTCCAGAACGTTGTCACTTGTCTTGCAGCTTCTCAGAAAAGCTCCGTTCCAGGGAGTTGTTATTTGACCTGCCTCAGAGATTCCTCTGTGGGAAGTCTCTGTCCCTAGGACTTCCATCTAAAATAATTACCTGCAGTCGTTGAACACTGTGCTGCCTGAGGCTGTGATGCCACTTGGAGCAAACAAGAGCTTGGCCAAAAATCTAAAAGGAAGATCTGGGGAACGAGATATCTGTAGTGGGCTTTGAAATGCTTCAGGGATCTAGAAGGCCACACACAAATGCAGGACTGTGTTTGTGCCCAGGAAAGACCCGACAGGGCCCCAGTCTCTCATCTCTGGCTGACTTTGAGGTCCCATGCAGGTGAAGGCCAAGACAGACATGTAGACTGCTTGAACGCTGAAGGTGCGCCTAATCACGCACTGAGCTCCTCAGCGAAGGGTAGAAGCCATATTGGTTCAGAGCACTGAAGGAAACCTCCATCCAGTCATCTAGCTGACCACTAAGCTCACTGAGTGGAGACATTGGTGGTCACGTGCTACAGGGAATACAGACCTCAGAGTTAGTCTGGGAAAGTCACTAGAGAAACAAATAGCAGCAACAACAGAAACCAAAAAGCCAGCCACAACAACAAACCCAGGGGAGACAGTGGTGATCTGACTTCCAGAGTTACCATATTATATTACTTAGAATGTCCACTTGGCAATAAAAAAATTCAAGACACCCAAAGAAACAGGAAAGTATGGTCCATACTCAGAAAAAAAAAAAAAAAGCAGTCAATAGAGACTGTCCCCAAGGAGGCCCAGGTATTAGACTTACTAGACAAAGATGTTAAATCAGCTGTTATAAAAGTTCGGAGAGCTTAAGGAAAGTATGTGGAGATATTCTTGGGCCTTTGCACATCTGTGTATGTGGACCCTGTTACCACTCTGTATAAGGGTATGTAAAATAAATAGTGAACTTTGTTCCTGCCCTTGAGAAAGCTGATCTCTTGTGCTCTGGGAAGGCTAATGTGGAGGCTGTGAACCGGTAAATCTCTTTCTGTAAATTTCTCCACAGATTCCATCTCAGCTTTAGGAAAGGACATGTATACTAGGCTGTTTACTGCAAAGATGTTTGTAACAGCAAAAGATTTGAAAGAAACAAATGCCCATCAATAGAGGACTGATCTATATAGTCCTACAAGGGGATACTATATGGCTGTGTTTAAAAAAGAAAAAAAATCTCTGAAAGGAGTCTTAAAAACAAATATCAGTGATTACCTGTTGATAGGAGGGAGGCAGAGGGGAGACTTTAAGTGCCATGGTGTATTTAATCCATCTCTTTCTTTGGACATTTAGGTGGCTTCCAATTTTCAACTATTGTAAATAACCTTAAGGTGAACATCCCCAGAAATACCTTTCTGTGTTTATGTTCTATAATTTTCTTGCATTAAATTCCTGGGGATGGAATTACTTAGTAAAGCTTGTTTTATAAATTGTTTGCTCAAACTGTTTGCCTGTTTTTCAGATGAGGTATTATTTTCAGCCGTTAGGAAAGCCTCTTTAAATGTGTAAAAAAAAAAAGAAAATTAATTTTAAACATTTATTTGAAAGGCTTTTAACTTCTTTTTTACATGAAGGTACATTCAGTAGCTACATAAAGTATTTTACATTACTTTATTTATAGTAGATAGTTTTCATAAGTTGCTTTCCATTACTTTGAAATAAAAGTATAAGTATTTTGACCTTAATACTTGAACGTATCTTTAAAATTTTTAAAAAGTATTTTTCTTTAATTTTTAAAAGGTATATATTGTAGTACACTGTTTTTCAAACTGCAGGTTGCAACCATTTGTGGGTCATATAATCAACTTAATAGCTTTCAACTAGAATTTAAAGTAATTAAAAAGAACATGTAAAAACACACCATCTTTTGTATTATTCCATGAAATGCTTGTTTAGCTATTTTACAAAGTATATGTATACTAGGTTGTGATGTAAAATAGAACTCAAAATTAAAACATTCTTTTTGGAAGCCATT